AGGTAGTTCTTAGTTACCAGGCTGGTGTGCAAATAGTCCAAGGGCTCACCAGGGAATCTTGAAGAGGAACCCCATGGTGCTGTGGGGCAGCTAGTCCAGCTTGGCTGCCTAAAAGTCTCACTCCATGTTAACAGCAGTCAGTCAGTCCAAACGAACTCTTAGTTTCCAGAGAAGAACTCACTTAACTCTCCTTAACCCTCTGTTTCCCATATGGATCATTGCTGATATACCCCTCCCCCCCGCCGTCACCACCAGGTATGGCCGTTTACCCAATAGTGAGAGTGGGAAGGCGTTCCGATCTCTGGTTACCATGCATTGTCAGGCAAGGTATGTTTTGATTGGCTCAGAGTTGGGCATCCCACTCCAGCCTCTTCCAGTGACCATGTGTCACGTCAGGGAATGCTTTTGATGTGTTAATGTACTGGGCATAGCTCGTCCCATGCTTGGGAAGGCGCCGGCAAGTCGCTCTCTCCTGGCAGAGGTGTCAAAGTGTCTTGTATATGTATATGGGGCCTGGCCACCTGGCAAGCCATTTGCACAGGTGACAGGAATCACATGGTAGTGTTACCAGCTAGGGGCATCTGGCCCAAGCAGGGAGGGTTTTAGAAAAGCGTTTTTCTATACGATGAGGATAATAAATTTCATTCTAGATTTTCTTACAATCCTAACATATATGGTCCTTGTATAACAGCATGTGGAAAGGTGGTAAATAGAGATCGTAAAAGGGCCGAGATTAATTTTCAAAAGTCTTGGAATAGTTTATCAAAGGCGGAATCTGAAGCATTAAAGAGTTTGGCGAAGAATGGGAACATTATAATAAAACCTTCTGACAAAGGTGGGGCTGTGGTTATTTTGAACAAGAGGGATTATTGTTCTGAGGTAGAGCACCAACTAGCAGATAGGGAAAGTTATCTGCCTACAGAATGTGATTCAGCTAAACATATAACGAGATTAATATTGAGGAATTTCACATTACCCTTTTTAACCTGTTTTGAAGCTGTTTTTGATCCGTCGGGGAGTAAACCGGTATAGGGCTGCCATTTCACACATGGCTTTCCCCTTCCGGTAAAGAGCTGGATCTGAAGCGGTTTGCCATTTCAGACTGCACCGCTTTTTCCCGCTTTCCTCCCGCCGTTTTTCACCCATGCGGGCGATCTCCAGCTTTTTTTTTTGAACGTTCGCTTTAGAGCGCTATAGCACTATAGTGCTATAACACAACACTCCAGGCATTCCAATGGGGTTGATATAATACTGTTGTGTTGTCCCGTTATAGCGTTATACCGCTATAGCACTATAAAGCAAACGTTCCACACACACAAAGAGAAGCCGGAGATCGCCCGCGCGGGCAAAAAATAGTGGGAAAAAGCATATCGGAACCGGGAGAGAAAACTGAAGACTACTTGGAAGCGGTTGACAGGTAAAACGCTTCAGCCCTGTTTCATAAACGGGACAGAAGCATTTGTGTGCGAAATTACAAATTTATTCTGGTAGGGAACCGGTTTTAAAACGGTTCTGTCTGAAATGACAGA